TAATAAACAAACTTCAAAAGAACAAATTTAATTTGGTGTTGAAACATCATCTTTGTGTACATATTCACTAAGGCTTTGAACAATTTTTCTAATTTCTAACACGAAAAATTATGATGAACAATTAAATAAAAATGTAACAGACCACATTGAAAGTATGGCATACAGATTTCTTACCAAACTTTATTTTAGTTTCATTGAAAAAAATGTTTTGTTTTGTAGTCTTCTTTTTATTTTTCAGTTTGGTAATTTAACATCTCAATAAAAAATGTGTTAACTTTCTTCTTGCAGGTTTGAAAAGATGTCGGTTGACTACACAAAACAGAAGTGTCTTGTGTGCGGAGACAAGGCCAGCGGTCTTCATTACACTGTCATCTCCTGCGAAAGTTGTAAAAGTTTCTTCGGCCGAAAGATCAAAAGTAAAGCAAAGTTCACATGCGAAGCCAATGGCAATTGTGTGATGGATCTGTACACGCGGCGACACTGCCCGGCATGCCGTCTAAAAAAGTGTCTTGATGTTGGCATGAAGCCAGAACGTAAGATACTGTTTTGAAAAATAATTATATTTAATTTTCAAGTAACTATTAAAAAAAAAAATACACTGAATAACTGCCCGGGATCTGTTTTTGTAAATGTTTTTAGCAAACTTTGTTTTAGGATAGAAAAATAACTAAAGTTTTATTCATTAAATCAAAATGATTTTACCATCTAAGCAGAGGAGAAAATATAAATCAAATTTGTTTGAATTTTTTTCGACTGATATCCAGCAAGTGTGCTAACAGGCCTGCCAACAATTATTTTCTTTATATCAATTAATTGAAATTCAGGTTTCTCATTCTATTCAATAGAAATCCTAATTTGAATGAAATTAACTTTTTCTTTTAGTTTCACTCGGGTCAATGTTATTTTAAATTAACACATGTATGATGATAAGCCAAAATACATAGTTCATTGACAGAGTAACTGTAATTATAATATTATATTACTTAATATCTTTTATTTAAAATTTATGTTCCCCGTATTGCAGCCAATAGAAATCCTAATTTGAATAAAATTTTTATTTAATATTTTATTCGGGTCAATGTTATTTTAACTGTTGCATATACAATGATAAAACCAAAATACATAGTGCATTGGTAGGGTGACTGTAATTATCATAGTATATTTCCTAATATATTTTATTTGAAATTCAGGTTCCCCTTATTCCAGCCAATAGAAATCATAATTTGAATAGAATCAACTTTTATTTACTATTTTACTTGGGTCAACGTTAGTTTAACAGGCGCATATACAATAATAAGCCAAGATTTATAGTTCATTGATAGGATAGCTGTAATTATCTAGTATATTTCAAGGGCATGATAAATTATACAATAACCATGCCAATACCCATCTGCAACACTGGCCACAGGTGTAAATACATATTTTTGGAATGTTCCCATTAAGTTTTTAAAAATGATTACAAGTTCTTGTAATTGCAGGTAATTTCTGGTCACCATTGTGTTAGTAGATCGCACTGATATTGTTCTAATTTATTTTTTTCATCATAAATATGGAAATGATTTGAAAACATAATTCACAGTCTATGCTTTAACATAATTAATCCCTGCCAAGGTTTTCACTATTTACCATGGCAAGTTCTAAGGGCTCCAACAAGTAGTAACAAACAATTCTCATTTTAAGAAGCTCAAATTTATTTTTAGATCATTAAATACTAGCGATGCTACTGCAGTGCCACCAGCAGCATAATTTACAATTCAAAAGAATAGCTTATAACATATGAGTGTCTTTCCTGACTTATCTGCAACACCTACTTATTTTTATCTTTTTTGCCTGCATATTTTTGTCAATAATATAGCCTCCTAGCTTTATACATTTATATATGTGTAGCCTACATTTATACACATATAGTGTGTGTGTGTGTGTGTGTGTGTGTGTGTATATATGTGTGTGTGTGTGTGTGTGTGTGTGTGTGTGTGTGTGTGTGTGTGTGTGTGTGTGTGTGTGTGTGTGTGTGTGTGTGTGTGTGTGTGTGTGTGTGTGTGTGTGTGTGTGTGTGTGTGTGTGTGTGTGTGTGTGTGTGTGTGTGTGTGTGTGTGTGTGTGTGTGTGTGTGTGTGTGTGTGTGTGTGTGTGTGTGTGTGTGTGTGTGTGTGTGTGTGTGTGTGTGTGTGTGTGTGTGTGTGTGTGTGTGTGTGTGTGTGTGTGTGTGTGTGTGTGTGTGTGTGTGTGTGTGTGTGTGTGTGTGTGTGTGTGTGTGTGTGTGTGTGTGTGTGTGTGTGTGTGTGTGTGTGTGTGTGTGTGTGTGTGTGTGTGTGTGTGTGTGTGTGTGTGTGTGTGTGTGTGTGTGTGTGTGTGTGTGTGTGTGTGTGTGTGTGTGTGTGTGTGTGTGTGTGTGTGTGTGTGTGTGTGTGTGTGTGTGTGTGTGTGTGTGTGTA